AGTATCTATCATCGGGAAAGATGCCAACATAGATTAGAATGTTTGGACATGTGAGGAGAAAGACCGTCTTGCGTTGATTTCAACAATGCTATTGAAAGACAACCGTTGATAAAGCAATATGTAGAATTGCCAAGTAAACTCAAATAGCTGTAAAGATACTGAGGTTGGTTCTGCACCTAAAGTATTAAAAAAAACCAACCTTTTATGAGGAGAAATTAGCTTAAAAACTTATTGACACAGTAAACTTTATGGGAAAAGATGAAGAAGAACACAAGATAAATAGCTGGATGGCTTGACGGCATGAAATAAGTGGGGCCTGATCCAAAACTGGTGGTTAAACATTAAGAGGGTGAACTCCCTGTCTGGGCACCTGGATGCAATTTTGAAGAAAAAAAACTCACTGCATGTTAACAAGTATTTTGTAAAAGGTAACTATAATTTAGAGTATGTCAAAATCAGGTGTTCTGTGCTGAAAGATGCTGATGTCACAGCCTAGCTGTAAACAACTGCAGCAAAACATACCAAATGCCCTTTCAAGTGCGTTCAAAAACAAAGAAGATGGCAACCCATGCTCGCCTATACTTATTAGCAGTCCCACATGATGATGTTGCCATCATGAACTATTTTAACTCTTTCACATAGTAAGAATCTTCATAAAAAATTACCTTGTTTCAAAAATGCACCCTTATAATTCTTTGAAACTCTACCCTAAGACACTAAAAGAAGAAGAAGCAGAAGAAATAGGAGTTTTGGTTAGTTTTCATAAACATTCAGGGTGTCAAACCCCTAGACCAGTGATTCCTAAACTGTGTGCCGTGGCGCCCCAGGGAGCCATGACCGCTTTACAGGGGCGCCACAAAATATTCAAAGTTGCACAATTTTTATTGTTTTTAAATCTCTAACATACGAATAGTCACACTTTTACTTAGGTTAGGGTGCAGTGGAAAAATGTTGATTGTAAAAGGTGCTGCGACTAAGAAATGTTTGGGAAACACTTCCCTAGACCAAAGAGGGAACAGACAGACATGAAGTCCTCTGCCATAGAGAGAAATGAGACATAGATATGGAATTGTGTGAAATCAAGATGTCACATTGTTTACAAATTATTCTTCTCACTCCACATAATATCTAAAAACACATTTTGGGTAAATATAATCATATCCACCATGTCCACACACTATGTTCTCATAAATAATTCAAGGGGGAACACCCCTGACGCCGTAGAAATATTATATATGTAATAAATAGACAATGTATTGATCAATTTCTAGCACAGTAATTATAGCTTTTGATTGTATGTTGTCTAGTGTGTCCTTCTATCTTTCTTAACACTATGCGGTTGCAGCACGTACCAAAGCTGTCATACAGGCGTACTGGGCACTGTCCAAAGATATCATCACATCAACCAAAACTCACAAAAAGTTGGGAAAATGGCTTTCTCAGGGTGAGAGGGTTGAAGAAAGTAAAGTGCTGTTTAACTATTGTATGATTACTGAACTTCTTCTTCAGCATTCTGAGGCCTTGGGGTTCATTGCTGTAAATATCATCCGCCTTCATTGATCTGAATGATTGGCCTTCTCTTTCTAATTTGGTGACTCCAAGTGTTCTTGATCTGCTGGTATATTATCTCTCCATCATGTTCTTGGTCTGCCAGTATATTATCTCTCCATCATGTTCTTGGTCTGCTGGTATATTATCTCTCCATCATGTTCTTGGTCTGCGGGTATATTATCTCTCTATCATGTTCTTGGTCTGCCAGTATATTATCTCTCTATCATGTTCTTGGTCTGCTGGTATATTATCTCTCCATCATGTTCTTGGTCTGCGGGTATTTTATCTCTCCATCATGTTCTTGGTCTGCCAGTATATTATCTCTCCATCATGTTCTTGGTCTGCCGGTATATTATCTCTCCATCATGTTCTTGGTCTGCGGGTATATTATCTCTCCATCATGTTCTTGGTCTGCCAGTATATTATCTCTCCATCATGTTCTTGGTCTGCCGGTATATTATCTCTCCATCATGTTCTTGGTCTGCCGGTATATTATCTCTCCATCATGTTCTTGGTCTGCCGGTATATTATCTCTCCATCATGTTCTTGGTCTGCCAGTATATTATCTCTCCATCATGTTCTTGGTCTGCCGGTATATTATCTCTCCATCATGTTCTTGGTCTGCTGGTATATTATCTCTCCATCATGTTCTTGGTCTGCCGGTATATTATATCTCCATCATGTTCTTGGTTTGCCAGTATATTATCTCTCCATCATGTTCTTGGTCTGCCAGTATATTATCCATCATGTTCTTGGTCTGCCGGTATATTATCTCTCCATCAAGTTCTTGGTCTGCCAGTATATTATCTCTCCATCATGTTCTTGGTCTGCCAGTATATTATCCATCATGTTCTTGGTCTGCCGGTATATTATCTCTCCATCATGTTCTTGGTCTGCCGGTATATTATCTCTCCAAAATGTTCTTGGTCTGCCGGTATATTATCTCTCCATCATGTTCTTGGTCTGCCGGTATATTATCTCTCCATCATGTTCTTGGTCTGCCGGTATATTATCTCTCTATAATGTTCTTGGTCTGCCGGTATATTATCTCTCTATAATGTTCTTGGTCTGCCGGTATATTATCTCTCTATAATGTTCTTGGTCTGCCGGTATATTATCTCTCCATCATGTTCTTGGTCTGCCGGTATATTATCTCTCCATCATGTTCTTGGTCTGCCGGTATATTATCTCTCTATAATGTTCTTGGTCTGCCGGTATATTATCTCTCCATCATGTTCTTGGTCTGCCAATATATTATCCATCATGTTCTTGGTCTGCCGGTATATTATATCTCCATCATGTTCTTGGTCTGCCAGTATATTATCTCTCCATCATGTTCTTTGTCTGCCAGTATATTATCTCTCAATCATGTTCTTGGTCTGCCAGTATATTATCCATCATGTTCTTGGTCTGCCAGTATATTATCTCTCCATCATGTTCTTGGTCTGCTGGTATATTATATCTCCATCATGTTCTTGGTCTGCCGGTATATTATATCTCCATCATGTTCTTGGTCTGCCAGTATATTATCTCTCCATCATGTTCTTGGTCTGCCGGTATATTATCTCTCCATCATGTTCTTGGTCTGCTGGTATATTATCTCTCTATAATGTTCTTGGTCTGCCGGTATATTATCTCTCCATCATGTTCTTGGTCTGCTGGTATATTATCTCTCCATCATGTTCTTGGTCTGCCAGTATATTATCCATCATGTTCTTGGTCTGCCAGTATATTATATCTCCATCATGTTCTTGGTCTGCCGGTATATTATCTCTCTATAATGTTCTTGGTCTGCCGGTATATTATCTCTCCATCATGTTCTTGGTCTGCTGGTATATTATCTCTCCATCATGTTCTTGGTCTGCTGGTATATTATCTCTCCATCATGTTCTTGGTCTGTTGGTATATTATCTCTCCATCATGTTCTTGGTCTGCCGGTATATTATCTCTCTATAATGTTCTTGGTCTGCCGGTATATTATCTCTCTATAATGTTCTTGGTCTGCAGGTATATTATCTCTCTATAATGTTCTTGGTCTGCCAGTATATTATCTCTCCATCATGTTCTTGGTCTGCCGGTATATTATCTCTCCGTCATGTTCTTGGTCTGCCGGTATATTATCTCTCTATAATGTTCTTGGTCTGCGGGTATATTATCTCTCCATCATGTTCTTGATCTGCCAATATATTATCTATCATGTTCTTGGTCTGCCGGTATACTATCTCTCCATCATGTTCTTGGTCTGCCGGTATATTATATCTCCATCATGTTCTTGGTCTGCGGGTATATTATCTCTCTATCATGTTCTTGGTCTGCCGGTATACTATCTCTCCATCATGTTCTTGGTCTGCCGGTATATTATATCTCCATCATGTTCTTGGTCTGCGGGTATATTATCTCTCTACCATGTTCTTGGTCTGCCAATATATTATCTAAAATGTTCTTGGTCTGCCGGTATACTATCTCTCCATCATGTTCTTGGTCTGCTGGTATATTATCTCTCCATCATGTTCTTGGTCTGCCGGTATATTATCTCTCTATAATGTTCTTGGTCTGCCGATATATTATCTAAAATGTTCTTGGTCTGCTGGTATACTATCTCTCTATCATGTTCTTGGTCTGCGGGTATATTATCTCTCCATCATGTTCTTGGTCTGCCGATATATTATCTCTCCATCATGTTCTTGGTCTGCCGGTATATTATCTCTCCATCATGTTCTGAAATACCAAAGGATTCAAACAGCCTTACAGGACTAAAACAATCTTTGCAAGATTTAAGTCTTGCTGTCTTGAAAGCGTTGCAGGATTAACTCTTGGAGTCCCAGAGGGTTTAGCATCACAGGCCCAAGGGGTAGTCAAAAGAGACGTAAAATCGGCGAATCTTGCATTGATTGGGCTTCTAGGCAGTAACCTATGAAAATATGATGCGTTCCTTGGGACTCAAAGAGTTAAAACAGATATGCGGGATTGAAAGTCTAGCAGGAATGAAACAGTCTTGCAGGACTGAAAGTCTAGCAAGATTAAAATAGTCATGCAGGAATGAAAGTCTTTCAGGATTAAAACAGTCTTGCAGGATTAAAATAGTCTTGCAGGATTAAAATAGTCTTGCAGGATTAAAATAGTCTTGCAGGATTAAAATAGTCTTTCAGGATTAAAACAGTCTTGCAAGAATGAAAGTCTAGCAAGATTAAAACAGTCTTGCAGGACTGAAAATCTTTCAGGATTAAAACAGTCTTGCAGGACTGAAAGTCAAGCAGGATTAAAACAGTCTTGCAGAACTGAAAGTCTTGCAGGATTGAAACAGTCTTGCAGGACTGAAAGTCTTTCAGGATTGAAACAGTCTTGCAGGGCTGAAAGTCTTTCAGGATTGAAACAGTCTTGCAGGACTGAACCAGCCTTGCCACATAAAACATAAGTAACATCCATGATCCCCTCGTACTTCAGTACAGTTAGACTCCCAGGTGATCTGTGGTGCTTTGGATGTTAAGAAAGTGTGTCTTTTCATTTCCACAAGGGACCACAATACTGCGGACTGTGTTAGTGCAGCCTGGACCTGTTTGGTAGCCAGTCACTAGTATCACTGGGAATAAATTAAAAGCAAACATTTTAGTTTACAGACAAAACATTCAAGGAACTTGGTTAAAGCAATTAATGTATTTTAGTCAAAGTATCCATTATGAAATTATGTTCAGAATATTTATTTCCTAATTTTGGGCTAAAAAACAGGGGTCGGCTTATACGAGGGGAAGTCAATAAGTCAGTCATAAATGGCTATGGGATGCCAGGAAAATGTAGTTGGTGGTTTCTAAAGGTGTCATTATGTCTTCGTTCCTTAGGTGGCGCTAGGTGTTGCATGCACATTCGCAACACAGAAACAAAATGGCAATTTCACGAATGACGCAAAATTTAATGTGAAATGAAAATGTGGTTTAGAAAACAGAGCATGTAGTTCTATGCAACAGGTCTAGGAGGACTGATCAAACGATGGGACAAGTGCATCAATGTTGGTGGAAATTAGGTTGAAAAATAGAGGGACATTGTATGTGTAAAAGTAAAAGGTTTTCAAGTAGTTACGGTCTTCATTTTTTTTTTTAAACAACCATTTGTAACTTACTTATTGACTTTCCTTCGTACATGGGGAGCTGTGTTAGCGTAGTCGATAGGAGGCTCATTTTCAAAAAAAGCTGTGACTTGCTGCAGCTACGGTCGGTGTTCGAAACCGCGCGATTCCCGGGGTTCACCCAACCTCTAGGAAATAGGTTCCAGAGTGACACTTTGGAGTAAATGGAGGAACGTCGCTGTAGCTACAGAGTTACATTCCGACGGCGACACAGGCAGACAGTTTCTTATCAGCTGTCCCTACTGGTGGCACAACAAATCTAAGGGGTTCACGATATCATTTACCAAAACTTCTGGAACTGTCTCAAACTGCCAAACACTGGTGGTAACTAAAAGCTTTAAGGGTCCATGGCAGACGTGCAGAAATAAGAGAGGTCCACAATCTTAGCTAGAAACCACTGATCTAACCGTGTCATGCAAAAGAAAATAGTACCTGAGAAACAGAACTAGATGACTTAGTTTTATCATTGTGTGAGGGGAGGGGGGTGGGGGGCGGGGACATACCCACTACTCCCCATCAAACCTGTCATAACAAGGAGACTAGGTACATGTTTGCTTAAATCAGATGTTTGCTCAAAAGGGGCAGATATCACAGGCTAGCTGTAAACAATAACACAACATGCCAACCATTCTTTTGAAGGTGAATGCAGGAGAATAATAAGCTTTAGTGTGATGATAGTAGTTGGTTTATTTTGTAAAAGATTACTTTCATTGCACACAGATACCTCTATAAGAGATCAGTCTCCTCCTACACAAGGAAAATTTAAATTCGTTCAAAGACCACCCAAAAAAAAAAAAAAAAACTGGGACAGGCTAAGTTAGATCTTGTTTGAGGCAAACTTAACAGGAAAAGAATAAGACACAATCTGGCAAGTCTTACCAATGTCTTTAGCCTTGACATAACCTTGACCCTTTGCAATGTTGAGGGCATGGTCAATCCTGGTATCAACATCTGCATACCATTCAACACTTGTTGTATCTGGTGATAGAATACCAACACATCATCATCATTTTCTTTACCTGGTGCATCAGTATACATACCATCATATAATCTATCATGGCGAGGGGTTGAATAATCTCAAAGGCATATCACAGACCTTGAGTGCTGGAGGTCCTGGCTTCAACGCCCAGTGAAGGCTTTAATTTTTTTCAAATAGACTTCTAGTATTTTCCCCAGGTCTCTGAGTAGTAAGATCCAAAGCCAGTGTGTACTGTTGCGCACCTAAACAAATCTTTTGCAAATTGAAATAGTAGCCTCACGGCACTGCCCTGGGAAATTTGGAGTTTAAAATCTACCTAAAGTTATTTTCAGGATCCTCACCGGTGCTACAGAGTTCATGCACTGCACTGAAATTCTTGGTACTCAGGCTTGAGTTAGATGTAGAAACAGAACACTTATGGGTTACTACCCTTGTGCCACGATGTTGATCCATTGTTTTAACCTAAACTAAACCTGACATCATTTGTCACACATGCCATAGGCCTTGCTGACTACCAGGTCAGTAACAGAAACACCAAGGAAGAGCGAGCACAACAGGAGGCTTCAGACTGTCAAACTAATCATCGAGATACAAGGGGTTAGTATAACACCTGCCTGTGATAAATTAGGAGCCACCGTGATGTAGTGGCTAGAGGCTTGCCTGTTGGTCAAGCAGCCTAGGCTTTGGGTCCTGACGGAACCAAACTTTTTTCAGGTCGACCCAGTCTTGTTTACCAGGTACATTCCTGGGAAGTAAAGGTGACTGGCATGATGCTGACCACATCACCAGCCAAGTGCCGGTTGGTCTATAAAATGTAGTTCTATTCCTATGTGCCCAATTTGCCCAGAAGCGGGGAAAAAGGTCCTTTACTTTACTTTAACTGTGATTAATGAGAGCAACAACATCATATCTTTGCCATGGCTAGGAAATGTATGACGACCTTTCTGGTGTCCTAAAGAAAAAAAAGCCTGTTAAACTCTAAATCATTAAAAAAATTAATGTAACAGGAGCAAAATTTTAATATCAAATGTGTGACTGAGAGGGGAACATCTGATAGGGGAACATCTGAGAGAGGAACATCTGAGAGGGGAACATCTGAGACGGGAACATCTGAGAGAAGAACATCTGAGAGGGAAACATCTGAGAGGGAAACATCTGAGAGGGTAACATCTGAGAGGGGAACATCTGAGAGGGGAACATCTGAGAGGGAAACATCAGAGAGGGGAACATCTGAGAGGGAAACATCTGAGAGGGGAACATCTGAGAACTGGTTCTCTGCCATTACATTAGAATTAAACAAACCATATTCTTCATAATAAATCATCATCAACACAAACCACTTCTGCCATTAAACGTTATGGGGGAGTAATAATCTATGATCAGAATAAATGTCTAAGTAAAAACCTGCAAATATTTTGGTCAAAGAAGATCACAAATTAAGAAGTGAGGAGCAAAACAAAATGTTAATCATTGGCAAAACATTATCAAACAAGGAAGAAGGAAGAAATGACTTGGACATGTTTGCAGAATGCCTGGTGACATTTTGGCAAGAGGACAGCTTTCCAATGAACAAGGGAGGGGGGGGGGGTGTGAACAACCTTAGAAAATTTGGAAAAGGATAGCAGAAAGGTATACGAAAGAATGTAAAAGGACATGGGACACCATGGGCAGAAGAGCTGCAGACAGGCAGTGATAGAGATCTCTTGTAAAAGAGGCATGTGTTAACAGCGACATGAAGAGGATACATATGGACAGACTTATCTACCACCCGAGTCTGATCAGGGCCGGCTTCAGCTGACGGGCCATGCTGCTGACTTCACTGGGTCGGGCTAACGATCTATTAAAGCAGCGGTTCTCAAGCAAGAACTATTTTCGACAGTGGCCAGGGAAGACAACTTCAATTTCAAATTTTAAATATCTACATGCCTTCTTTATTAATCTCAAAATTTGTTGCCGACTTTTCTTGATTATTGCCGCGGGAACCCCTGGCATACGCTCACTGTACCCTGGGGTGCCTTGGTACCTAGTTTAAGAACCACTGTGTTAAGGCATCATTAACTGAAGCCGGTTATTAACCTACAAACCTGTGTAGAGGACGGCAAAGATTCCACGATAGAGGTTGAGGTATTGAGCTGTGTGGTGAGACCTGGTCACAGCAATGATGACACAGTGAGGACGGTAACGGGCAATCATTGTCGCTGATCTGAAAATGCATTAATCAATCAGGTGCCATATCCACATTGTAAGTTGGCTGCAATGGATCTTAAACATGCTTTGTCTTTTGCCCTGGACGTACACTTTCTGAGACTTCTTTTCATCCACCTTTCATTATTATCCTATCTCTTGTATCGCTGTCTACCTCTCACTTGCTTGCCAACAATTTTTCCCTCACTATGGTTTTTATAGATGCTTATCTGCCAGCTCAAAGATTTCGGGTTTGAACCTGCATCGAGTCAGATTTTTATTTTCAAAATTTACCTTGACTTCCAGATTGATCCAGTCTTAACAGGAATAGGGAAGTTAAGGCAGCAACATCATTTAAAGTGTACTAATTGGTATTTAAACAAAAATAATATTCTAGCATATTTGTCAAATGCACTGACATAAAAATGACCTTTTTTTTAAATGTTTTATAATAGTGTTATGTCATCTAGTGTGGCTGAAATATTTGTCAACATGAGGAAATAACATTAAGCAATAATATAAGCGAACATGTTCAGCACTGTAAACTCCAGCAGAAAGTTCTGTTTGTTCATCCTCTTCTAGAGAAAGTTTTGTTTGTTTGTCCTCTTCTAGAAAAAGTTCTGTTTGTTTGTCCTCTTCTAGAGAAAGTTCTGTTTGTTTGTCCTCTTCTAGAGAAAGTTCTGTTTGTTCATCCTCTTCTAGAGAAAGTTTTGTTTGTTCGTCCTCTTCTACAGAAAGTTTTGTTTGTTCGTCCTCTTCTAAAAAAAGTTCTGTTTGTTTGTCCTCTTCTAGAGAAAGTTTTGTTTGTTCGTCCTCTTCTAGAGAAAGTTCTGTTTGTTTGTCCTCTTCTAGAGAAAGTTCTGTTTGTTTGTCCTCTTCTAGAAAAAGTTCTGTTGTGTTCATCCTCTTCTAGAAAAAGTTTTGTTTGTTCGTCCTCTTCTAGAGAAAGTTCTGTTTGTTCGTCCTCTTCTAGAGAAAGTTCTGTTTGTTTGTCCTCTTCTAGAAAAAGTTCTGTTTGTTCATCCTCTTCTAGAGAAAGTTTTCTTTGTTCGTCCTCTTCTAGAGAAAGTTTTGTTTGTTCGTCCTTTTCTAGACTGTACAGTGCAGAGTGGCATACTTTGCTGTGGAGGTAACGGGTGAGAAGCATTGTCTTGATCTTTTCTCCCGGGTGTCGCGTGCGGATGTGCACTAGAACGCACCAGTAGTGAGTGAGCAAATAGGACGTCAAAACAATAAGTAATGTCGTTAAGGTATTGTTGTCAGAGCATTCTATGTTTACAGTCTGAAGGAGACAGACATGTGGCCCCTTGAGGATGCTTTACCCCAGGATGCCACGGAGGGAATGGTAATCAAAGTTGGATCCTTGAGGACACTCTACCCCGGGACTCCCCTATAAACCTCAGCAGACAGCTGGTATATTGATTGTCTATTGTGCTCGGCAGAAAGGCGGTATACTTATAGTACCTTGTTCAGTATGCAGAAGAGAAGATTGAGATGACTGTCCGGATTTCCAACCCGTGTTTGTAATGAAGTCAGTTGATGTACCAGCGAGCTTGTGTTGGTGTGTTTTATTAATTGCAAATTTTTTCATCTGTTGATCATTGGTATATCAATACACTCATGGAACCTATCGAATAGCGTTCATTGTTCTTCTTCTTCTTCTTCTTCGCTTCCTCTTTTACCGCTGTGGGTGTCGAGGGAGATATAAGGTTCTGTTTCTAGCTCTTCTGGCTGCCTCGACCATAGGCACATCGTGCTGTTGTAGAGTTTCTCTGATGTTATCCTTCCATCTTGTTCTTGGTCTACCCCGTGCTCTATGTCCTTCTTCTCTTTCCATGTATGCTTTGTATGGTATGGTGTCACAAGGCATTCTCTCTAAGTGGGCAAACCATTTCACTTGCTGTCTTTGTATGTAATCCAGAATTGGCTCTGTGCCGACTTGTTCTCTTATGATCTCATTCCTGATCTTATCTCTTATGGTCACTCCTACAGCCCTTCTCAGACATCTCATTTCCGTGGTTACTAATTTTCTTTTATGGTTTGTTATGAGTGACCATGTCTGGCACTGGTAGCACAGAGTTGGTATAAATATGCTTTGAATAAGATGTCTCTTTGTGCTGATTGGAATTGTCTTATGCTGTAAGAGGGGGGCTAGCTGTCCCAATACTTGGTTTGCTTTACTGTTCTAGCGTTTGAAAGCATTGAAATTTCTACTGTTTTACCCCACAAGGCCTATTTTATCGTTGGTACAACACACATCACCATTAAGCCACCACAAGTCACACTGGGCATGGCAGTATGTTGGGAAATGAACAGGCTGACTTACCAGCTGGCTTTGCACAACTTGGTGGAATACTGATGCATGGTAAGGCAGACATGGGCCTTGTGGGAAAGTGTGTACAATTTCAGAGGAGCAAATGGATCAACAGTCTGGTGAGAGTGAAGCAGCGGGAAGTGACGGGGGGTTCTGGCTCATGTTCAATGCTCAGAGGAAAGGCAAGACAAACATTTATTCAGAATGCTACTGGCACCATTGGTATTGGAACTCTGTGCTGGTTGCTGAAGATGGGGATGGAGCACTAATAGGAATGCCCCGAGTACTGTGATGTTGGTTCTTGAATAAACTCAACTTCATGACTGTAGTCCTGTTCCAGAACCTAAGTGTTGCATGCAGATCTGTTTTACAGATCTGACTCATTTTTATGCAGACTGTTGATTCCTTGCCTTTCAGGCAGATGTACACCAAATTTTAAGGAAGTTTCTAATTGATCGATTATTACATCAAGCTTTTAGGAATGCAATGTGTCTATTCTTGTTTTCCCTACAACAGGAGTCTGGAACCCACACAGGGGTTATCAGTGAAACAATTAAAGCACAGCAACATCAAGCGAGTTCAGAGGGAACTTCTTCTTTTAACAACTTATGAACTGCTTACACATTCATACATCAGAATTACATCAGCATAACCCTACACATTCAGACCAAAGTAACCCTTTCAGACCCAAGTACCATGTGGTGTATGATTCCAATCATTTAGTCTTACGGTCTCTGGCTTTTATATTTTGATCGGAGTATTTAACACAATCCGGTTTTTCCTATAGTCACTTTCAATGTGTATTTAAACTCTTTGAAATAACTATACATGTGATTTTTTTTATCACTGATTCCTTGTTTAGGCATTTCCTTGCCAAACTGCGGGGACTTAAAAATGTTGAAGGAAGCAATAGCCAGCCTTAGCATAATGACATCAACATGGACAGAGTCTTCCATCTTCTTCTACTCCTTTTTTTTCCCCTTCTTATTCTTCTTCTTCTTGTTCATGTTCATGGCTGTAAACTCTGATGGAAAGTCATGGTTACTTATTTACTCCTAACTTGTCTTTATTTAATTAACAACTTTCTCCTAAAAGAAACAGAAATGAGAAATCAGAAGTGAAGAGACAGCAATTACTCTCATTACAGTCATACCTTCCTGAGTTTGTTACAACAACTATGGCAGAGGCACGGCAACGAAATGCTGCCTCAACTGCGGCAATAGATGCAGAATGGGCACTGTCTGTTGGGATGGGAGTTACAGACTGCAAGTCTTGGAATAATCTTGCATGGTATAATGCATTCTCAGCCTCTTTGCAGATCTGCAAAATAACATTGGACAGTTAAGGCAAGCAGCAGGATCAACTCCTACAGTAGCATCAGTGGCAAGATTCACACCAATAGTTTGGCATGGGCTGCTCACATAAAAAATATACAAATGGATAACAAGGGGACTACGTTAGTGCAGTGGATAGGAGACTCACTTTCAAATCCAGCTGCGACTGGCTGCAGCTCAAGGCCGGTGTTAAAAACTGGATGGTTCCTCAGTTCACCCAGCCTCTAGGAAATGAGCACCAGAGTAATACTCTGGGGTAAACATAGGAAAGACGCTGTAGCTGTGGAGCTGCGTGTGGAAGGGGACACACGACGGACAATTTCTTATCAGCTGTCCGTACTGGTGGCAGAGCACTTATGGTTTATTATCAGGTACAAGGACACTGGTTCAAATCTCCCAACTTTTTTACAAATGGATGACAAGGGCAAACAAAGGATGAAAGCAAAAAATGACAGATAAGTAGAACAAACAAGGGATGGTAAAGATAAAAACAGAAAACTGGCTAAAATAACAAATGTGTAAAATAACAAATGTCTAGAACATACAGAATGGAAGGCAAGAATAATAACAGAACTGGTGTCTACAATATACATAATTAATGGCATGATAAAACAGAATGGATGTTTTGTAAATTCTTCTATCATTTAAGAACATAATATATAAATGATTTATCAATTAAATTCCTACCACCATCATCACCACCTCATTAGCATATAACCTCATCCTCATCATCAGGTGTAACATAAAAAATTGGTAAAATACTTGTCGATGTGAGTATCACAATAACTTGAAATACACAATATAAATAGCGAACATAAAATAGACAACAAAATATAGATATTTTTCAGCTGAAAATATGAAAGTCAGGAATTTCACAATAGTGATTTTGGTAACAGATGTGAGGGAAAGTTCAGGCCGTTGTGATATGTATAAGGGAGTTACGGGGTACCTTGCTTTGGGCGCCAGTGAGCTCTGTGCTGGTTTTACCTTGGATAATGGCTCATATGAGCTTAAACTGAACTTACAGGGGATCTCAGAGTTATTGGCGCCTAGATATGCAGTGCCCAGAAATTATCTGGCTCTCAGCAGCCCACCCCCAATGCATGGGTGAAAATATCCATCAAAACTCATTTAGAACATGAATAAAGTCTGCTAACTGAATATACTACCAAATGACAACCTTCGGTTAAAATGTCGGTCGAGTGAAACAACTACTGAGACTCATCCCTAGACCAAGATATCTGCTCGCAGCTTAGGCGAGCAGTATCTCCTGCAAGATGTATCTCATGTTGAAGTCCAGTCTCCATTCATTCTTTGTTGACCTTCAACATCATCGTCAGAAAACAACCACAGTCAGTCGGCTGACTAGGCTCAACTGTCTGTCCTATAGCATAACAGCAAGTCTCAAATGTCTGACAATACAAAATCCTACTGTTTGGCATAAAGTTTAAAATGTCCATTACCACTGGCTCTACTCTCCCGAGTGACGGGACCAAACAGGGAAACCCATTGCATACTTTTTCCATACTGCCGTACTAAGTGTCTAGGTGAAACAATGTTAAAGATGCCTAGCATGGTGAAGAAGAATGTACCTATTTGTGGTTCATTCAAGTCCAGGACTTGCAGGCTGTTTCCTGCTGATCTCTGGAGGGTACAGCCCATAATGAGTGAAATGCTAAACATACGGTTGTGAGGTTAAGCAGTCATGTTTAGGACATGACGATTCTTTGGGTGAGCACAGGACCACAGCGTCATCATGTGTCAGCTCTGCATTTTATGGAAGCCTTCTTGGATGGAAGGAGAATGCCCATGAACTGCTCCTACTGCTCTTGAGGGCCAACAGATAGGTGAGCAGGCAGATAGACTGGCCGGTTCTGCACAACTTGGTGGTGAACTGATGTATGACAAGCTGGATGTTGTGAGGGCCTTTTGGGAGCGAGTGAACAGTGCCGAGGAACAGATAGATCATTATGGTCTGAGGAGAATGGCACTGCGAGGACTTACAAGGGGATCTGGCCGACGCTCGTCACTCAGGGGAAAGATGAGACAGATATACTATCAGACAGTTATTGGTACCATTGGAATTTTAATTCTTCGCATGCTGCTGAAGATGGGGACGGGGCACTTATGGGGGTGTCCCAAGTGCTGTGATGTCGATTCTTAATTCAACATTCTGGAGAGCCAACCAGTCTCCATGCGGTAGCCCTGAATGGGTTCTCCAGGGGCAAGGCCTGTAGAGAAGGGGACACAGAGACATCACATAAATATCTGGGAAATTTACCCAGTCAACACATGCTGGATGAAGTGTAAGCCAAAAAGTGCAAATATAGCAGCTTTGCTGTAAACAGGCTTAATGCATTTACATCACTTAGATGAACGAAAAGAAGAAGAATAGCACAGTGGCTAGGTATCTATCTGTTGACCAAAAGGTCTTGGGTTCAAGTCCACACAGTGGTATATTATTTTACAATGGACCTTGGTGCCCAGGTGGATGCAACCTAAAACCAGGAAATGTCCTGGGAAGTAAAGATGGTCAGCATGATGTTGACCACATCACCAATCAAATGCCTATGAAAATATGGATATAGCAGCAGCATGTGTCCAATGCAAAAACTGGCATGAAAAGAGTTCTCTACCTGTCAACTTTCACCTGTAAACAGGCGATATCTAAATACATTTAAAAAAAAAGGTTGAACAGAATGTGTTTTATGTAAATAATAGAATTACAAAATGGACTGACCATGACTTGAATACAAAGTACAACTGTTGTAATCTTATATCTATAGAAGCTGGAATCCTGTACACTCAGTGGAACATTTATTCTTAGTCCAAAAAAGGGGAATAAGTACAGAAACTAGAGATAAGTACAGAAACTAGATGAATACAGACACTGGAGATAAATTCAAAAACTAGAGTGGAATACAGAAACTATAGAAGAATACTGGAATTAGAGATGACTACAGAAACTAGAAATAAATACAGAAACTAGGAATGAATACAGAAACTAGAAATAAATACAGAAACTAGGAATGAATACAGAAACTAGAAATAAATACAGAAACTAGGAATGAATACAGAAACTAGAAATAAATACAGAAACTAGGAATGAATACAGAAACTAGAAATGAATACAGAAACTAGAAATAAATACACAAACTAGGAATGAATACAGAAACTAGGAATGAATACAGAAACTAGGAATGAATACAGAAACTAGAAATAAATACAGAAACTAGGAATGAATACAGAAACTAGAAATGAATACAGGAAACTAGAAATAAATACAGAAACTAGGAATGAATACAGAAACTAGGAAATAATTACACAAACTAGGAATGAATACAGAAACTAGAATGAAAAACTAGGAATGAATACAGAAACTAGGAATGAATACAGAAACTAGGAATGAATACAGAAACTAGGAATGAATACAGAAATACAGAAACTAGAATGAATACAGAAACTAAATGAATACAGAAACTAGGAATGAATACAGAAACTAGGAATGAATACAGAAAAATAGGAAACTGAATACAGAAACTAGGAATGAATA